TTAAATATATGTAGCTTCAAAAATAAAAAATAAATAATTTAAATAATTTTTTAAATTTTTTAAATTTTTTTAATTAAATGACAAAACTTGAGAGTGAATGTATATTTATATAAAAATACTTAAGCATGGAGAGTCATGATAGAGAGCCATGGAGGAGAGTCACGATTAATATTACATTGCTGTTCAACTACATGTTAATAATAAATAGCCAGTTATAATTTTTATAAAATTAATAGAGGAACGCAATTAAGGGAGAGGGCATATTTAAAATTTTAAAATAAATTTATTAAATTATATTTACAAGCTTTAAAGAAATAAAAAAATTCTGAACTAATCTTTTTTTCTGAACTAAATTTCTAAACTAAACCACACGTAGCCAATTAACCTTATAAATCCTTTTTATCTCTATTTATCTTTTTAATTTTAATGATTTGTAATTTTAATGATGGCCATGGAGTAGAGTCACGATATTGGATGAAAATATAAATGGAATTGGCATTTATAATTTTAATGATAACTTAACTAAATTTAAGGGGTTGAAATTTAAGGGGCCAACTTAACTAAATTTAAGGGGTTGATGAATTAATGGGATTAAGAGCGATATCAAGGGACGAATCCTCTGATATCCCGTGTTATACAACCAAATCCCCTGATATCTCGCTATCCTTCAAATCACTGATCCTCTTTATACTTTCAGATCAAAATATCACTCAAAATCATCGTTAATACCTCTAATCACCTTATTTCCCCAGGATTACCCCTTATATCCCAAAGCTGCGGATTGTGTATTGCGGATTGTGTAAAATTGCGTGTTTTTTGACTTACGGATTGCGTATTGCGGTATCTCAAAATCTATTATAAAATTAAATGCAGACATAAATTTTAATAAATGAAATATTTCTTGGGTATTTATAGAATCGAGAATGTACAATTTTTACAAAATTATACGAGATTTTGCCCAATTTACAAGATGCGCGGGATCCACAAATTAATCTTAAATATACGATTTATACGATTTATTGTATATTTTAATACAATGTCTGGATTCCTTGCTTCAATAAGACAATAGGTCGAGTGATTGCTAAGAAATTCTTTGAATTAATTTACCCTCATTAATTTACACAATTAAATAAGTCACAAGTGTAAAGAAAATTTTAAAATAAATTTTTATTAAAAATTTATATTTATTTTCCCTAAAATAATTTTAAAAAATTTAAAAGCAAATTTAAATTTAAAAAATTTTAGGTTTTGCAATTAATGAGGATTGATACCAGAGGTATCCGCAATTGCGGATTGCGGCTGCGGATTTTTAAGATTTTTACTCAATTTTCACGCAATTTTTCGCAATTTCACCATCAAAAAATGTAAGAAATATGGCTGTTTGGACATAAAAAATTTTTTCATAATTTTCGCCTCCGGTGGTGAAAAAGGAAGAAATCTGGCCTCTCGGGCTTTCAATTTTTCGAAATTTTCACCTCAGGCGGTAAAAAAGGAAGTAACCAGGCTACTTGGCCTTCCAAACTTCTCAAAATTTTTAAAAGGGAAGAAATTTGGCCCCTTGGCCTTCCAATTTTTCAAAATTTTCGCCTCCGGCGGTGAGGGCGATATCCATTCAAATTCATAATCTTCTATACCCCTCCAAATCACTGATATCACATGGAAGCTTCGCAAATACTTCAAATCCCCTTATTTTCCCAGACTACCAATTATTTCAAAAATTGGGATTTTCGAAAATCGAAAATTTTCCCATAATTTCGGAAATAAGAAGGAAAAAACGTCAGAAATTGGAATTCCAACCCAGCTCTGATCTGTAGGTTATTTCTCGTTGAACGTTTAAAATTAAAATAGCAGAAATCCCCCTATGAAGTTTAAATTTTTTTGGTAATTTTTTGGCAAAATAAAATTTCTCGAACAAATTTTCGCAAACATTATTGCCCAAAATGAATTTATACAAGTTATCTGATAAATTTCTAAATATTTTGTAATTTGCAACTTACTAAAAATTTGCTCCACAACATTTTAAATAGATTTTTTTCTGATTTTGGTAAGTTTCCTTAATATCTTGTAACATTCATAGATCAAAATTATATTTGGATGATTATTTATCCTAAAGGGATATCTTAGTTAGTTGTGTAGCAAAAGCTTACATAAATAAATATCAAATATAGTTGACAGAGTTTATAAGGGATAATCTGAATCCTCAAACTAGAGGTTCCAGTAATTTTTAGAGTGGAGAACCTTGTATCGGAATAGTAGATTTTAAGATATCAGAACTAGTTTCTAACCATGATGCCCAGCAATTGCAACAATTACAATTAGAATTTTCCCCTAAAATCTCTCTATAAACAACAAATCGCTTACACAGTAACTTTGTTAACTCCCTTGTGTGTGTGTGTCAACTCTATTTAGACGTAAAACAAAAAAATAATTTTAGATAAATCATGTAAAAATAAATAATGTTCAAAGTTATCGAATCTATAACGAATCGACAACTATTAATCAAATACTCGTTTAAAATTGTGGTTAAATATTTTTAAAAAAATCAAGTTTGTAATATTCCAAAATTCAAAAATAAAATAAGAATTTAAAAAATGCAGGTCCCGGAACAAAAAATAGAGGGAATCTTATATTTTCTTTTAAATGGTTTTCTCGTTAAATGGTGGAACTTGTGTGGAAAAATTTTTAAATTTTCGAAAATAAATCAAATTTAACATCCACAACACGGAAATTTGCTGCGACGGGGAGGAGGGCTGTCATCACGATGTAAAGAATGATCAACTTGTGGAGTTTCATGATGTTGCTGTTGTTCAGCTTGTCGAATATTTCTTTCATATTCAAACTCGCCAATCTTGTTTCTATTCAGAAAATCTACAATTTCTTGCATACTTGGACGAATGGATTCATCTTGGAAGCAAGCCTATTAATATTAATTTAAATGAAGATCTAATATGATTTTTTGTCTTCAGACAGAAAATGAAATTTTATAATTTATAATTACTTTTATAACACGATCCAATTTTGAATTATGATTGTAGATTGGAAATTCATTTAATTTTGGTATGCCTATAAAATTAATTTTAAATAAACTAAAACTTTAAGCTTCCATTAGTCCTCAACTATGGAAACTCACTATGGAGATGAGTTAACTTTTGTAAATATAAGTGTTCTAATCTCAAACAAATCAAATTTAATTAATTGTCCACTTTTATTTACAAAATTTTCACTTTAATTAAAATTTATGAGATTAGAGTTATTCTCAGCCAGTTGTTAAAGTAACATAATACCGGAACATAGGTTCTAACATTCAGAATTGGTATTTAGTGCACTGGGACTTAGCGAAATCAGTGTGATAATAGAATATTCCTTGAACGTTAGGTTGATTAGACGTATAAATGTGCATTTGTCTCACAAACTGGACAAGAGTCATCAGTGTCTAATAGAATATCTGGCTGATGGACACGGACAAACAACACACGGACGGACTCGGACAGACAAAAATCGGACGAACACGGACAGACAAGACACACACACCGTCCTTGTTTTGTCTTGTCCGTGTTTTTCTGTACGTCTTCGTCAGTGTTTTGTTCGCACGTCTTCTTCCGTATTTTCTGTATGATTTTTGTCAGTCCGAGTCCGTCCATGTTTTGTTTGTCCGTGTCCATCAGTTTCCATTTTGTCTTTCCATTTTTCTTCATTTTTCATTTCCATTTTTCTTTCCTTGAAAGTAATGAAAAAAACGATTCCGCCCTTATTTTGGGATAGGGTCGAATATCTCTTGTTTATCTTACTTGCGGATACAATTAAAATATTTTAGAAAGAATAAAGGAAAAATATGTCTAATTTTTTTAAATAAAATACCACGTTTTATATAGTGTTCATTAAATAATCTGTAAACCATTTTGCCGAAATCATAAACGTCATCTCTTTGATTGGCTTCAATAAAATCCGCTTTATTTCCCTAAAATAAAGTAGGTAAAATTATAAAAAATTCCAACTACTTTGTAAATAAAAGAATTGTTAAAATCGATTAATTTCACATCAATAACATTTGAATCTGGATCTTGATCACGAGAAACAACAAAATTTGAGTATTTAATATCGCGATGACCTCCATCTAAATTATTTTATCTGTTAAAAAATCAGAGTTATAATCACATTGATGGAATTGTGCAAGTGCTCGGGCTGCCCCTTTTATAATTTCCGTAAGAATTTTCTCATTGGATCTTGGCACTCTTTCTCTATATTGAGGATCTCTTTCATAATAATGATCTCTTATATTCATTCCTTCAAGTTCCAGAGCAACAAAAAACTTTGTGCCAACTTGCGCACTGAAAATGTGATCAAAATTATGGGAAAAGGAAAGATTAATTCTTAGTAATTTCAAAACTTCTTAGATTGACATAAGTGGTCATCAAGATCAAATATTACTCACTGTCCAAGCATTTTAATGATATGATTCCTTTCACTAACATCAATTCCATTTAAAAATTCGAAAACATAAAGTTCATGTGTAGGATGAATTCTAGACACTTTTAATGCCACACAAGTAGTATTCTCGCCAATCCAATGTGCGTGATAAACCTTAAAATATTCTTGGATACCTTTAAATTTTCTTGGATAAGTTTTCTAAAATAAAAAAAATTTTCGTCCATTGCATGACGTAAGTACCCGGTCTGCATTTTGGACCAATGGTCCGATATTGTGCATGTGTATTTGACATAATTAGATTTCATTGTTATTGAAAACCTACATTACTATCTTTCCCAGATCCAATTATGCCTACATCCTCAGTAGTGTATTTCAATTCCATTACATTTCCATTAATTCCTGTTATTTCCACATATTCCTCTAATTGCTCTAATAAAAATTTTCCGCATTTACACATTTCCTGATCATCATGAGAAGTTGACACACCTTAAGGTGTAATTTATATCCTTCATAATTTATGTAAACATATTAACAATTGGAATCCTTCCTTGCTAAGAGGAAATTCCAAGGACCGTATATCTTCTTTGACCTTCCGAATTAAGACAAGTTGAAGTGAGTAAAGAAAACAGCATATCGGGGTGCACTCTAAAATATGAAACAACCCAAAAACAACAATGCCAACAACAATGCCAAAATCGATAAAAATCACGAAAAACGCCACGCTGAAACGTCATGGCATAGATATGTTTTCAATAAAATTACAAAACAAGATTAGAAACTCGAAAAGCTTAATAAATGTGTTAAGATCGGGCACTTTTGTTAAGACCGGGAAATGCCCCGGCGAAATGCCAAATGGAATTGGCGCGCCTTATTCTGACCGTTTAAATTCCCCAACCTAAAAAACAATTGAAGTTAAATCACCTTTGCCTTTGTCCAACTCATGATCAACACCTTTTATTAAGACAAACTCATAAAATGACAGTATTACTGTTGAAAAAATTAGCAAATTTTTAACTCTCATTTTTCCTTTTATCTTAAAACCTGTAAAATAAAGTTTATTCGAGACTTCTACAGAATTTACTTTATCAGTCTTTTAAGTTTTCGCCTTTGCCTAACGCTTAATAAAAAAATTTAGAGGGTAAAAATTTAAAAGGGCAATTTAAAGAGGGACTAGATTGCTAAGCATTTCATTAAGGAGAGAGCCAACGTGGTAAGCTATTTAACATTTAGTGGAGAGAATGGCATGAGAGTCATGATAGAGAGCTATGGAGAAGAGCCAAATGCAAAGTTATTTACTTGACATATGCTGTATTTCAAAATGTAAATAAATGCAGAACAATTTCCTGAGGATTCGGGTTTGAACGTGCCTGTATCACTATCTTTGGATTTTGTGACTGGATTTTACTGAAAAGATTTTTATATATTTCATACAAAATCACTTTTTGAAAGTTATGGCATGAATCCAAAATTTGACAGTAACTATAGAAAAAAAATTTGACAGGAACTATACATCAGCCAAGTTATGATAGTTTGTTTCAGCTCATTACCTATGGTTTTCCTAGAGGTTTTTGCTGCTGTTGAGAATGCAGGCTTGTCCACCGCAGCAATGATATGAATATGCCTATGTTACTAGTGTAGAACTTTGCGGCTTTGACACACCATGAGACACGTGCCCAAAACATTCCCTAAAAACGTCTGCCAGAATGCAGGATGTCATTTAGTAAATAGGATTTCGCGAGGAATAGGTAGTGCCTCCATTGCTAAAAGACACATTTTTCTGACCATTTTTTAATTTTTCCTCTTATTTTTCGCGAGATTCCCGAATTTTTTCAATTTCCGATTTCGGGAAATCGGAATCCTGATAAAAAACGTCGGGACCATTAACAGTTATATCGAGGGATCTGTATGTTTCGAGTTTAAGTAGATCATTCAAGTAGAGCGATTAGAAGTAATTAAAAGAGTAAACGTTGGATTAACGGAGATCTGAGAGGATATCAGTGAATTTGAGGATTAGGAAGAATAGAAGATTAAGAGGGATGTCAAGAGATCACCATTCAAATTACGGATATACTTTAGCCGGTAGCCCAGTCAGAAACGGGTCAATTCCAACGAATTTATTTTAAAAGTTTATGTTTAAACATGAACTTAAAAGAAAACTAAAACTGAAACATCCAGTCAACTAATAGTGTTTCACCAAATAAGTATTGAAATTTAAAACTTTGACAATTTCTTAGAAATTAAAAAAAATTTTAATAAAGAAATTTATAGAGGAATCGACTAAATTAAATAAAATAAGAAGGATAGCGATTCAACTCTCCCATTTTTGACTATCGCAGCCCTCTGTATATGTGTAGGGAGAAATACATACAAACAGGTGATATGCCAACCTTATAATTTTTCAAGTAGTTTGTTGGTAATGGTAAAGGAGGAGAGGTTAGAGAGGAAAAAAATTTAAAGTCAATAATTAACCTTTTATTTTATTTTTTTAAATGTTTAATATTTTTAAATTTAGTTATTTAAACTAGTTGAGTTAAAGATCCTACTGAAACCAATCATTTTCAGATTAGACCTATCTTCGCCTCTAGTGTGAAACATGAAAAATATATATCAACTCGCAGCTTTGATGTGGCTGGGAGCAAACTTCAACGCTGGGATCGAACTAATATCTTCTGGCGCCTATTCAACAAAGCGACATAAACTTACACTGTCGATAGAGAAATGTCAACACAAAATAGTAAAAAAATGACTAGAGATAATAAGAAAGAGCGAAATAGGCATAGTAAAAGGCTCCGGTACAAAATATGGAATCGTTAAAATATGGAATGGTTAAAATCGCGAATAGGCTAAAAAGGGGTTAAAATACCGAATCGTTAAAATATGGAATGGTTAAAATATCGAATAGGCTAAAAATGGGTTAAAATATGGAATCGTTAAAATATGGAATGGTAAAAATGTCGACACGGCCAAAATAGGTCAAAATGTCGAATTTTTTTAAAAAAGGGTCAGATTAGTGCCATACATTAATTGTTGATAATTTTATCAACTTATCAACTTATTTTTGATAATTTGATTGATAAGTCTCGTATGTCATAGTTCGGCGTAATCTTTTCTGCCTGAGTTCACTGTATTTTACGGAGTAAAACCGGACCGGATAAATCAAGCATAATCGACCGGATCCGGTCCGGCATGATCGTACGGATCCGGAAAACATAACGCGATCCTGATACGGAAAAATTAGAGTGGCGTGCACCAGTTTTTAGTTAAGACCTAAATTTTGTACCTTACCGTATACTGTACGGAATACCGAAAAATACCGATCAGCTTTTAAATTTTATCGGTCGACATTCCTTACCGTACTATCGACACAGAATACCGAAAAATACCATCGGTATTATGGTACCGTCCGGATTCTAGTCTTGGCGCCATTTTTAAAAAATTCGACATTTTGACCTATTTTGGCCGTGTCGACATTTTATCAATTCGATATTTTAACGATTCCATATTTTAACCCTTTTTTACCCGATTCGATATTTTAACCATTCCATATTTTAACGATTCCACATTTTAACCCCTTTTTAGCCTATTCGCGATTTTAACCCATTTTTACCCGATTCGAGATTTTAACCCTTTTTTAGCCTATTCCATATTTTAACGATTCGATATTTTGTCCGGACACGTAGTAAAAGAGAGGAGAGAAGAGGCGAAAGAGGAATAGTAAAAGAGAGAGAAGAAACGAAATAGGCATAGTAAAAGAAAGAGACGAAAGAGGCATAGTAAAAGAGAGAAGAGAAGAAAGAGGCATAATCCTCTTTTCCTTATCTATAGTCATTAGTTAATTTAAAGATCCTACTGAAATTCCAATCATTTTCAAATTAGAGTGAGTTTCTAAAGATTTCTAGAATTTAGTCTATAAAGTTTAGAAGTTACGTTGAAATTTCTCTGCCAACATTTAATGTCAATGTAGCTTTTCTGGAAAAGGCCCAGAAAATGGATGAAATTGAGGTTTATGGTTTCAAAGCCTTACAAAATTCAAAATGCCATAAAAATCTGAGTTTATTATTTGTGAAAATTTAAAAAGAGTTTATTTTTTAATTTCTCAGAGTTAAGAGTTATTTTTGTGTAAAAATTTCTCTCAAGAGCTTTTCTGATTGTAATAGAATTTGTTTGAATAATGTGTGTAACTTTTAGAATTTTGTTTTATTTTAAATGGAGTTAAACTTTGAACTTAAAAAGTTTGAATTGAGTCAACTAAGAGTTCGAGTTTCTATTTGAGTTAAATTTGAGTTTTCTAGAGATTTTTAGAATTTAGTTTAAAAAGTTTAGATTGTATAATAAGGTATATTTGAATAAAGTTTATTATTTGTGAAGCTTTTTAAAAGAGTTTTGATTTAAGATATCTTTGCTTAAAAGAGTTTTATTTTTACAAAGTTTTATGCCTGTGAATTGCTTTGTTAATTTGAAAAGAACTCTTTTTTCTAACAAATATAAATTATTAGTATTAATATTTTTATTTTGCGATATCCGATAAACCTTGTTGCCCATAAACATACCCATTAAACCACACATCTCTTTAGAAAGAAACGAAAAAATTATTATATACATTTGACTTTTCTAATAATTTTAAGAAAAAATTTTGACAAAACCTAGTAGCTCCCCGTTTGTTGTGTCTCGTGAACAGGATCAAAATTTTGATTTTAGAATATTAATTTTAAATTAATTGATTTAACAATTCTTTGATTAATGAGATTTGGAAGTTAATTATTTAATACAAATACTTTATGACACTAAAAAAATAATTCTATTTTTTCCTTAAATAATATGTACAGAATGGTTAGACTATTCCCTTCTCAATTTCAATAAATTTTCCATGTGACATATTCAAATAATTCAAAAGAACGCAGCGGTTTTTTTGTAAAATATTTCGCATTTAACCTTTTAATTTTCATTATTTATAAAGGCAAATATTAAAAATTTTGTATTTAAATAAAACACGCAAATACAAATTCTGACCACACAGAAATATTTTTTTATTTTTAAAGTTTAATTAAGCGATAAATTAAACAAATAGTTATATTATTTTTTGCTCTAGTTAATAGTACATATGTACTAGAAAGTCTTTGCCCGCACCTTTTTTATCATAACTTTATTAAAACTCCATCGAATAATATCAACATATTATCAAATAATAAAGAATTAAATGGGAAACAAAATAAATTAGGATTTTTCGAAATACTCCGCATTGGCTTTAAGACAGAGCCGCAGACGCGAGCAAAAATTTTTGCAAGATTGCCGCTCCGTTTATCCTTTAATTTTTCCCCATTTCTGTACGAGTGATTGTCGGAGTGACTTGAAACCTTTGAGTTATTAAGCAAAGAGTAGTTTAAACGTTTGAAAATAATTCCAATTCTATTTTTCTTTTCATAATATGGAAGAATATAAATATATAGTTACATTTTTTAAAATCTATCGTTTATTAAACTATATACATTGCGTCTGTAAATTATTTGTTTCTTTTGTAATTTATATTAATATCAATAGATATGTTTACCAGAATTTTTGTGGATTTTTTCTACTACCCAAAACAAGATTATCCAAGGTGGTCGTAAATTTACATATAGTATACTTGTTTAATTTATCGCTTAATTAAACTTTAAAAATAAAAAAATATTTCTGTGTGGTCAGAATTTGTATTTGCGTGTTTTATTAAAAATACAAAATTTTTATTATTTGTTTT